GGAAAGAACCACAGTAGTGAAAGTATAAACTGTTCATGACTTGCAAGTTTTCAAGACAGAAGTTTCAAACGCTGCACATGTTTCACCCTGCTTTGAGATCATCCTTTAACTGTAGAAATACAGCCAAAAGTACTTGGCCTGTGCATAATTCTACTGCTAAACAAATATTGGGTTTCTTGCACGTAACAGGAAAGAGTTAAACGTTTTTGGTTAACTTTAAAAGAGCTCTTTTGACGAGTCAGGAATTACTGAACTCTGTCATTAACTAGACTTTGCTTTTTGTGGCACATTCTGCACATGACTTTCAATATGCTTATAGAAATACCTGTATTAAAACAATTTATAGTACCATCTTGGCAAAATCTTACCAATTCTAGTATGCAGCCAACAAAGTCTTTAAAGTCTCCATTTAAGTGTGAGACTAGCTCCCTAAAATCATGGATGTTTTAATATCTTGAACCAATTAATTTGACCCCTTGCAGGATCAAATCATTAATGACAACCCCAGAGAGTATTTCACCCCTCGAGTTACGAGGCTGAGAGTCTAAGAACAGATAATGAAATGTAAAGACAAAGCAAAGACTTGGTTCAAAACCAAAACCAAACTGCAGCATGAACAGCCTGAACATCACTACAGCTCCACTGAAAAAAGAAGGTAACATTGTTTTGCTGAACTCTCCACCTAGACGTATGCAGGTGTTCAAGGGAAGAAGGGGGGTATTTATTTTTGGCAGAAGGAAGTCAAATATCAGGACTACAAATTTACAAAGTTGGAATGTTCTAATGAATTATGTGCCAAGTACTTCTGGGAGGGAGAGAAAGGAGCATGTCCATAACGTTCCTTGATAAAACCTAATACATTTGGACAAGTACTGTGATTTGATTGCCTATGTTTTATTCTTTTCCTTTTAAGAGATTTGGAGTCTTGGCAGTTTCTGAGTTCTTTAGATGCATTTAAATAGAAAGCTAATGCTCTCTTGGCCTCTGAGGTGAGTTACTTTAATGAAATCTAAGAAAAAAAGATACGTGCAAGTTAATGGTCTGGTTAAGATGGAAACCTGTTATCACACCTGGGAGGAATTCAGGGTGCATAGCAGGAAACACTTTATTCTCATAGAGATCAATAAAAGGTGAGGCAGCCATAAAAACTTGACACTCATTCCTCTATTAAGTGTAAATATCTATCTTAGCTGAAAGGTGTAATACAGAACAGTTTCCCTGAGCAAGTTTCATTAGGAGAGTAAGCACTAGGCTGAGATTCCTTGATGTGTGTTTTGTCTGGGGTGTAACCATTAAGGCCTTCCAACCCTCTCCTCACCTTTGTGTAACAGCTTCACTGCTCAGTGGAACAGGAAGAGCCAAGTATAATCTTTGATCTAAAGAATCCAAAGGATTTCCAGATGAGATTATACCTAGTTATACTACATTATTCCTAGTGACAAACAGCTTTAGCTCCTACTTGCTTGCAAAAGTAGTATTTTCAAATGGCAGTGGACGAAATCATCTCACAGTCTAAGGAACAACCAGACTAAAAGAATCCTCTGAGGCCTTTGAGTAGCTCCAGGTCAAAATGCAAGGAAGTTCTGAATTTGAAAAAATAGTGAATAGTACATCTGAACAAAAGACTCCTGTCTCTCTGGAGTGATGACTTTTAGAGTGGGCTTTTCTTTTCAAACAAGGTCCATCCAGGTCCCAGCATCTTAGTGGATGTGACAATGTGGCCTCGTGTGTTAATTTAGTTAATAGAAGAAAGCTATTACATGGAGACTGGAGAATTCTTTTCTACCAGCCAAAAAATACAGAGCCTGCATGCTCAGGAATTTAACATTTCTGACTAGTGGAAGAGAAAGGAGTTTTGTCACGAATGGCAACAGGTTTTCTGATATGGGAAGAGACAAAGCTGACTCCAGTCTTTGCAAGTGTGAGCATCATGTGATGAGAGTTTTAAGGACCCATTAACATTTTCTGTCCCTTTCTGAAATGGACAATTACATCCCTTCTGACTCCACGGATGTGAGCTCTGCAAATGGAGAAGCCTATTACAGTATATAAACTGCTGATTTATTGGAGACATTCTTAGTAAGCCCTTTTGGCACATTAATCTATTCTCATAGAGCCGCTGGTTGCTTATAGAATTCTTGAGCTTAAACATATTTAATTCAATTCCATACAAATACAGAATGATCTTTCTAAAGTAATGGAGAGCTGAAGGTATGCTCTGATGGCAGTTTCACACAACTATGTTCAGAGATTATAACTCTTGCAGCATTAAGCTCTGTGCATTGATTGAAAAGGGAACATAGGTGACTGACTTATTAGACTCTTAGCACAGAAACTGAGTGAATTTTCTCTGCCTGGTACACCACTAGCATACCATTCCCTTACCAAATTCACATTACAACCATCAGTCCTTCCCAGCCATGGAGGACAGCTAGCAAACCCATTTCGAGTTAAGAACCTGAAATTTAAGAAAATAATCTACAGACTATTTTGCCATAGTCTATCTATAATATTAGGGAAAAAAAAAAGTAGAATTGAGGTCAGTTGGCAGAACAAGATATTACCTTGATCCTGAAGCATGAAGGTACCATTACAATACTGCCAAACCCAGTAAAAATAGATATGTTCTATACACAGGTAGACAGATATATACACATATTGAAAAATCATTACCAAAATAAAGAGAACACAAATTTTTTTTTTCCCCTTGGTTTCTTGTGAACAACTGTTTAGCTGACAGTCATGTACACTGGAACTTCTTCCTGAGGTCTGCTGATTTTTTCCAGTAACAGCACCATAAAATAGGAGCCAAGGAAGAGCATGAATGGGAAGAAATAATGTATGCTTCCCTGGTGGTATTTTTTTCTGTTCTGAAACAAAACACTGCTTTTGGAAAGACAATTGTTCTGTCACAGAATGAGAGAATGGCTGAAGTTGGAAGGATCTCTGGAGATCACCTGGTCCAAGCCCCAGCCCAAGGAGGGCCACCTGCAGCCAGCTGCCCAGGACCATGCCTGTGTGGCTCTGGAGTACCACCAAGCACAGAAGCTCCACAGCCTTTCTGGGCAACCTGTTTCAGTACTCCAACACCCCCACAGTAAAAAAAAGTGTTTCCCACCTGCTAGAACCTCCTGTGCTTCAAGTCTGTGCCCACTGCCTCTCGTCCTGTCCCAGGACACCCCTGACAAGGCCTGGCTCTGCCTGCCTTGCACCCTCATTTCAGGGATTCACACACATTCATGAGCCTTCTCTTGGACAAGCAGTCCCACAATGAGAAAGCTGTGCTACTTTTTATCAAAGTACAAAACATTCAGGCTCTATTCCCCACATTAATGCCACATTATTTACAGTAATCAGTAAGCCTGACATAACTTGCTAACAATGACAAAGAAAAACCAATTTAAATAGGTTTTTTAACTTACTCACCTCAAAGAGGTAATCTCCTATATATTGCAAAGGGTAGTATTTAGTTTCAGAGAGACATTCTTTGCTTTGCAGAAGAAAAAATTTATTACTGACGAATACATGAGTTACAGTGCAGTCTGTATCTTCAGCAGAACATATGGTTGCCTTTCCAGCTTCAAGAACTCTAAATAAACATTAGAAAGATGTTATTTACTGCATTATATCAATACTGTCTAAATCTACATCATCATTTACAAACTACTAGCATGCAAGTTCAAGAGAATAGGACTTCTAGTTGTATGTCACTGCCCAACCTTCATTAGAAGGATAAAAGGACCCTTAGTAGCCTTGAGAAAAGGAAAGAGCATACTTAACAAGACTTCCTTGTCTTCACAATTTAACACGTAATTAAAAGGAACGTACACCTCCTACGTATCTGATAGAAAGCTCTAGCTGTGTACTTGTCCAAAAATCAAATTTGGTGACAGCAGCTGTAATTTATTGAATTATGTCCCCCACAATGATGATAGTCTTTCAAACAGGCTTTGCAAAAAAATTAAGTGGTTACTAAAACCTCAACACTGCTATTTTGAACGGTAACAAGGTATTTTCATAACACACATACATTTTTCTTCATTTTGGAGTAATTTACAGCACTTGGTGCTGTCTAGTACCATACAAAGAAAACAGATTAACAAGTTTTTGGGGCACAATTACACCCAAGTGTTTCCCCAGCAGCAATTTCAAGAGTTGTACTGCTGCAACTACTCCTACCTTCTAGAAAAGATGCCAGACAAAAAAACATGGTGGAAGAAATTAGGTCTCTTGACATGCTGCATATATGTATTTTTCATAAAAAGAAAATTATGGTCTCACACTCTTGCCCATCCAACAGGTAGGCACTTAAGGCAGGAAAAGCATATAAGGGGGGGAAAGGTGGAGTGCTGTAAATATTAGATAGAAATCAATCCTTCCCCAAATCTACAGTGGCCTTTATGACTAAAAACACTAGTTGCTGTAGAAAAAATATCCACCTGTCAGTGTTTTCTGACTGAGTAAAAGGATCCCTACATCAGTGTATAGGAAACAGTCTGGACAAAAAGATTCCTTCCACATGCTCTGCTTGCAACTCAGTATAGTATTTAACCCACAGAATCCAAGTATGTAGGAACAGGATGGAAAAAGCAAAAATGTAGTCACAGAATTCTGCACCCTAGTTATTTCCCTTTGTACTTTTGTCCTTCCCTTTCTCAACTATCAGTATTAGAATCTCATCAGAAACCTGCTACAATGCAGGTTAAGTCTTCAAAAGCCACAAGAAGCTGTGGCACACAGATGTGACACAGCAGCTGAGGAGGTCAGCCACACTGTTGTCCAGATCCATAAGATACAGTTCACAGCTGGCTCATGAACCCACTCAAGAGAAATGACATATCCAGCTCCAGCTACTAGCTGAATCTGATATCCACACAAAATATGATTACTCATTAAAAATAAAGTAAGCCTGCGTATCTTGCCTCATGAAGAAAGTGCCTGTAAGCAGTTCAGGTAGGATGCAGGTATGTGCATGCATGTTATTTTTAACACTATGCTAAAAGAAATCAAGAAAAGCAGGGATGTTAAAGATTTAAAGTATATTTTCATAAAAAGTATGGAAGCATATTAATGAAAACAATTCAGAATTGGAAGAGCTGGAGGTTGTTATGGACCAGATTAGCTGGGGTGGAAGAACAAAAATGCATTCAACCATACAGCAAGCATTCCATCGTTCATTATCCCAGCTTTAAGACAAATCCTCCTACCTTCTAATACATGCCATTTCTTTGCCACCTTTCTTAGCAGGGAGGACAACTTTCCATCTGTGGAAGGCCCCTGGAGCACCAGAGCGTGTCAGCTCTTCGCGCCATCTTTTAGGTGCAGATTGCATTTGAGGTGAATAATGGGTGTCTTTCTCAATTTCATATCCCCATTCGTAGGTTGTTTCATCAAGCCATCTGCCACTTTCAGCACTATTAATTATGTACTCCTTAGTTAGTATCCACTTTCCTAAAAAGCAAATGAACTGTCAACCACAAAAGAATTTTTTTTTTATGCAGACAAATGGCAATCAACTGAAGAACTAATATAAAATTAACTTCAACCTTTCTTGTGCAAATAAAAGCTGGAATTATAAGTACCATTTAAAAAACTTCTTCCTACTCCAAGAGTCCTCCTCTTCACACTTTAGAATCAGAAACCTCACAATGCCACTGAAAATTATCATTTTTGCTGTAACGATGAAGTACCTTTTCACCCTTCATAGATAAAATACTTGTCTACCTCCTCAAAAATCTGCAAATAGAATTTTTCAGCCTCCCAGATTTTGTTCTTAGGAACTTTGTTTAACCCTTTATTTTTAATATCACTTGGAACTCTTACAAATGTACGAAAACATACTAATATTTTACCACCAGTGACTAAAAAGAGGAACTAAGGGTTTACTGTGTAAGCTGTTTCTTTTATACATTCTTAGCACCACTTGCACTGTGAGTGTAGTGAATACCATATTAGGGGGATATAGTTTTAGACTTTGTCTTTCCCCTTTCTTCTTTTCATACCCTTTTCTCTCATCCCTTGGCTCCACCTCCTCCGCCTCTCCTCTTTCATCTTCTGCATGTATGCTTTTGATACTGTGTGTAATGATCTTCCCCTTTCTCTCTCTCTCTCTCTCTTCTTGCAGGTTCAGGTCAAGAGCCGTGGTTAGTACCCTGCTCCTGTATTGAAGCACTACCGACAGAAGACACTGCAAGAGAATTTGACTTGAGTGGTGTGAACCTAATTGGTTCACAGAACAGCAGGGTTGACTGGCGAAACGTCTCGGTGCGGGAGCACAGATGGCACTGCCACATCACCCAGCCTAGGGACCAGCAGACTTAGGACTGGAAAAGGTATGCTGTGCACAACCCGGCTGCGAAAATCGCTTCCCTTGCAAAGTTTCCATCCCAAAACTTCTGCCAGCTAGGAAGTCCAGGAAGACTGGAGCCCTCGCTGGCATCCCTGTTCACCTCTGGGGAGTTCTCAGTGGGTCTGAATAGGATCTTTCACACCTATGTGTGGAAGAGCTGCAGTAGGACTGAACACTCTCTGCCATCAAGGGCAGGAACGATGATTATGCAAAACCAGCACCTCTTCCAGGACTAAAAAGTACTAGATGGTATCAGGGAAGATTTGCAAGTGTAGAAACAAGACAGTTTTGCATTGTCATGTGGGCACTACATAGATCATTTCCACTTGGTTCATGAAAACATTGCCAGATGTTTTAAATCAAAAAAAGTAAGAAAACACTAACTTAGAGGTTTGCAATAGTTAAAACGAAGTGTTTTGTCACAAACCCATCTGCATTTTAATATTGTTTCCCCATGGAAACTTTTATCTGTTTCATTTTTTTAAGAGTGCAGTTGGACTTTTACATTGGTACAGGGAACCCTCTGTGTGGATCCAGGTAATCCACACTCCTCTATTCTAACAGCCAGAGAAGACTGAAAATGCCACTAGTAGGCTACGTAAATACAAATACAAAATCAAGAAACCCACACAAATCTAAGAACCCAAATCTACACTTAGTTATTTCTTATCCCTTAAATTGAGATTACCCACCCTATAAACTGCTTTAACAGTTTGGTATAACATCACACAGGGAAAATAAAGATGATGTTTAACCAGTTAACAGACCAGTACTTGAAATCTTATAACTCCACAAGGTGTTCTAAACTCATCATAAAACCCTTGCAGGTAATCTGTCTATATAAAGTAATCTTAAAATACAGAATTCTCATTCCTAGGCTGCTTATGTATAGGATTCCAGCATTAGGCCTTTGGTAAAAGACATGTCAGACCAAAGACCACAGCCTTGTGTCAGAATGCCAGAAACCTGGAATTTTCTCTTGCTGCATAAACAGCAGTGAATTTGGTGCCAAAAATCCACACTGACTGCTGGTGTCCATACTCTCTCTGTCCTCTTTTCAAGTGTTCTGTTTTTAAGCGCCCATATGATTTGGGTTTGGCTTTATGATCTAACTAATGTGCAACAAAGCTTTTTGTTTAGGAAGGGATGCAGATCAAAGAAAACAAATGACAGGAACATAATCCAGGAAAAAAAATCCAAAACAAAAGGAAGTCAGTCAGGACTTGAACACACTATGTTGAAAATCAAGGTTAATGCATCGAGGAGGAGAGTTCCTACAACAGTTCATTCACAAAATGACAACAGGTAACCAGAAACCTTGTCAGAGCCCTCTCCAGTCCTACATTATGATTTCATGAAACTTGCGAGCAAAACTTTTACTCACCTGCAGCACAGGCAGCTAGGAACTTCTCACTCTTGGACAGCTTTTTTGCTATGAGATGTGTACAATTTCTGTATTGCTAATAAAACAAAACCAAAACAACACCATTCTATTACTGGAAACACTTTAACGTTCTTGGCTACTTATGCACAACTCCAAACCACTGCCCAGCCCTTTCTTTCATGGCTCCCATTTTTTCCTTCTGCTGTAAATATCAGATATTTTAGCGAACAATACCTTATAATTTAAAAAGTCACAGGGCAGTTTTAACAGGTATTCGTAGAGCGCCTTTTTATCTTCTTTTTTAAATCCAGTTATTTGGATTATCCGTTTTTGGCCTCCCTGTGCCATCTGTCGAAAGAAAAACAAACAAAAAGGAAACGTTAACGTTCAAAAGAGGCATCGCCACACGCTGCTCGAGTACTTCCTGCTTGTTTTCCGAGAAAACGAGGAAAAGGCGCC